ATGGCAGCCGCCATCAACAGTATCAGCAGCAGCATCATCATCAGCAGCAGCACCATCAGCACCGTCGTAAGCAACATCATCACCATGACCATCATCAGCAGCATCCTCATCAGCATCATCCGCATCAGCATCATCAGCAGCAGCAGCAGCATCAGCATCATTAGCATCAGCATCATCAGCATAATCATCATCGACATCATCATCACCACCAGCATCATCACCAGCATCATCATCAGCATCATCATCAACAACAGCAGCATCATCATCATCGCGAGCATCACCACCATCAACATAACGAGCAGCATTATCACCAGCGGCAGCGTCATCATCATCACCACCATCGTCGTCGTCATCGTTGTCGCATTACAAGTCAAACTCCCCCAGCTCCTCCCCTCCTTCCCCTCATCCCCCTCCTCCTCCTCCTCATTATTCTCCTCGTGCTCCCCCTCATCCTCCCCCTCCTCCCCCTCCCCCTCCCCCCTCATTCTCTCTTCCTCCTCCTCCTGCTCCTCCGCGGCCGCCGCCGCCGCGTCCTCCTCATCCGCTTCCTCCGCCTCATCCTCCTCCTCCTCCTCCTCCTCCTCCTCCTCCTCCTCCTCCTCTCTTCCCCCTCCTCCTCTCCTCCTCCTCATCCTCTCCTCCTCCTCCTCCTCCTCCTCCTCCGCCTCCGCCTACTCCTCCTCCGCCTCCGACTCCGCCTCCGACTTCGTATCCGCCTCCGTCTCCGCCTCCGCCTCCGCCTCCGCCTCCTCCTCCATCTCCTCCTCCTCCTCATCCTCACTCCTCCTCCTCCTCATCCTCCTCCTCCGCCCCCATTCCCCGTCTCCTCCTCATCATCCTGATCATCATCATCCTGATCATCATCATCATCATCATCATCATCATCATCACCATCATCATCATCATCATCATCATCATCATCATCATCATCATCATCATCATCATCATCATCATCATCACCATCATCATCATCATCAGCATCGCATCAGCATCAGCATCAGCATCATCATCATCATCATCAGCATCATCATCATCAACGTCACACCACGCCATCATCATCATCATCATCATCATCATCAAAAGCATCAGCTCATCACAGCATCATCATGCATCAGCATCGCATCAGCATCATCATCACATCATCATCATCATCGGGATCATCATCTTCATCATCCTCCTCATCATCATCATCGATCATCAACATCACCTCATCATCTCGACACCATCATCAGATTCGCATCATCATCATCATCATCATCATCATCAGTATCATCATCATCATCATCATCATCATCATCATCAATCACATCAGCATCAGCAGCAGCAGCAGCAGCTCAGCATCAGCATCATCATCAGCAGCATAATCAGCATCAGCATCGTCATCATCACCACCAGCATCATCATCATCATCATCATCCATCATCATCAACAGCAGCATCATCATCATCATCATCATCAGCATCATCATCATCATCATCATCATCATCATCATCATCATCATCATCATCCGCATCAGCATCATCATCATCATCATCATCATCGCATCATCATCATCATCATCATCATCATCATCATCATCATCATCATCATCATCATCATCATCATCATCATCATCATCATCATCATCATCATCCGACTCCTCATCCGCCTCCACCTCCGCCTCCGCCAACTCCTCCTCCTCCTCCTCCTCCTCCTCCTCCGCCTCCGCCTCCGCCTCCGCATCCGCATCCGCATCCGCCTCCTCCGTCTCCACCTCCTCGTCATCCTCCCTCCTCCTCCTCCGCCCCTCCTCCTCCTCCTCCTACTCCCCCTCCCCCTCCTCCTCCACCTCCTCCTCCTCCTCCTCCTCCTCCTCGTCGTCGTCGTCGTCGTCGTCGTCGTCGTCCCATCATCATCATCATCATCATCTCATCATCATCATCATCATCATCATCATCATCATCATCATCATCATCATCAGCATCATCAGCATCATCATCAGCATCATCAGCAATCACATCATTCATCATCATCATCATCATCATCATCATCATCATCATCATCATCATCATCATCATCTCATCATAATCATCATCATCATCATCATCAGCATCAGCATCACAATCAGCATCATCATCATCACGTCATCATCATCATCAGCATCAGCATCAGATCAGCATCATCATCATCAACAACATCATCATCATCATCATCATCACCATCATCAACATCAACATCATCATCGTCACATCATCGATCATCATCATCATCATCATCATCATCATCATCATCATCGCATCATCATCATCATCATCATCATCATCAGCATCATCAGCATCGCATCAGCATCAGCATCAGCATCAGCATCAGCATCAGCATCAACATCATCATCATCAGCATCATCATCATCATAATCATCATCGTCATCGTCATCATCGTCATCAGCATCATCATCAGCAGCATCAGCATCAGCATCAGCATCATCCTCATCATCAGCATCATCATCAGCATAAACATCATCATCATGATGATGATGATGATGATCATCATCATCATCATCATCAGCATCATCATCATCCTCGCGGCCTGTGCCACTTGAGCCTCCGGTGGAGCTTCCTATGGGGCCACGAAACGCTGTCCTGGCTGGCGTTGACGCATGCGGCATGCGCAACTTGAGCCTCCGGTGGAGCCCCCATGCGGCCACGAAGCGCTGTCCCGAGTGGCGTTGACGCAGGCGGCCTGTGCCACTGCAGCCTTCGGTGGAGCTCCCTGTGGGGCCACGAAACGCTGTCCTGGCTGGCGTTGACGCATGCTGCCTGGCGGCCTGTGCCACTGGAGCCTTCGGTGGGGCCCCCTATGGGGACACGAAACGCTGTCCTGGGTGGCGTTGGCACATGCGGCCTGTGCCACTGGAGCCTTCGGTGGAGCTCCCTACGGGGCCACGAAACGCTGTCCTGGCTGGCGTTGACGCATGCGGCCTGTGCCACTGGAGCCTTCGGTGGAGCTCCCTACTGGGCCACGAAACGCTGTCCTGGCTGGCATTGACGCATGCTGCCTGGTGGCCTGTGCCACTGGAGCCTTCGGTGGGGCTCCCTATGGGGCCACGAAACGCTGTCCTGGGTGGCGTTGGCGCATGCGGCCTTTGCCGCTGGAGCCTTCGGCGGAGCTCCCTACGGGGCCACGAAACGCTGTCCTGGCTAGCGTTGACGCATGCGGCATGCGCCACTGCAGCCTTCGGTGGAGCTCTCTATGGGGCCACGAAGCGCTGTCCTGAGTGGCGTTGACGCATGCGGCCTGTGCCACTGGAGCCTTCGGTAAAGCTCGCTATGGGGCCACGAAACGCTGCCCTGGGTGGCGCTGACGCATGCGACTGTGCCACTGGAGCCTTCGGTGGAGCTCGCTATGGGGCCACGAAGCGCTGTCCTGAATGGCGTTGACGCACGCGGCATGGCTCATCCGTGGCGTTGAAATCCCGAGGACAATGGTTTGGCATGCTTCAGGGTCTTCATAAGGTTGTCTTCGAACGGGGCGGTTCCCTCAATGAAAATGAACCGCTGTAGCGGCTCATGAAGAGGGAGCTTGGAGGGAGAGTTTATTACAATATCGTTGATGACTCTTGGGTTTACACTGGTCCTCCTCCTCCTCCTCCTCCGCCTTCTCCTCCACTCCTTTTCCGTATACATAACTTCTCCTTGTCGCTCCCCGAGGCCAGTTGTTAGAGCGGCCATGGCGTTTCGCCTGAGACCTTCTCTCTATGTATGACCCTTAAGCTTTAAAATGACAACAAGGGTTTCACACATGAAGGGCGGGTCGTTTTCAAAATGTGGCTCTCGCCGTAGCGCGGCGCACACTCGCTTTAAACATGTGCAAGAGCTTCACGGATTGAGGGTAGGTCGTTTTCAAAATGTGGCTCTCGCCTTAGCGCCACGCACATTCGTTTCTGAATTTGCTTAAAAATCACGGATTGAGGGCGGGTCGTTTTTTTTTGTATGTGGCTCTCGCCTTAACGCCACGCACATTCGTTTTTTTTTAATGCAAGAGTTTCACGGGTTGAGGGCGGTTCATATTCAAAATGTGGCTCTCGCCTTAGCGCCGCGAAAACGTTTCAAAAAAATACAATGGTTTTCACGGGCTCCTACGATCAGAGTACCAGAGATGGTGTTTCGGAAGGAATCTGGTTAATGAGGGTGCACCAGGACTGTGTTGAAGTCTCAGGACTGGTGTTCTGGCACGATTCAAGATCGCCAAGACGCATCAAACAGGTGGTTGGTCCATGGCGTTAAAATCCCGAGAACAAAGTGTTGGCATGCTTCATGGTCTTCAAACGGTTGTCTTCCAACGAGGCAGTTCCCTCTGTGGAAATGAACAGTTGTAGGGGCCTATGTAGAGGGAGCTTGGAGGGAGGGTTTATTCCAACAGCGTTGATGACTCTTGGATTTACACTGGTCCTCCACCTCCTCCCCTTCCTCCTTCAACTCCTCCTCCCTCCTCATCCTCCTCCTCCTCCTCCTCCGCCTCCTCCTCCTCCTCTTCCTCCTCCTCCTCCTCCCTCCTGTTCCTCCTCCTCCTCCTCCTCTTCTTCCTCCTCCTCCTCTTCCTCCTCCTTCTCCATCTCCTCCTCCTCTTTCTCCTCCTCCCTCCAACACCTCCTCCCTCCTCCCCGATGCTCCCTCCTGCCCCCCTTTTCTCGCTCATCCATCATCCATGCTACTTCGTTCATCTAGGATGAACGAGGGATGGACCATCCCTCCCTTCTGCCCCGAGGGGGAGGACAACGAAGATGACAAGGACGGCAACGATGGCAACGGCGCCGGCGACTTCGGCGACGGCGCCTCCTTCAAGAATCCTTACAAATCTCAGTCCTCGCCCCTTCAGCCTCAACCCTCTACCCTCGATCCTCGAACCTCCAGCCCCGATCCCACGTCGATGACGACGTGGACGACGACGCCGACGGTTCATGCCGACGCCGCCGACGACGGCGCCGACGACGCCGATGACGCTCGCGACGCAGACCACGACGCCTCGAAGCCGACGATCTGCAGCTCGGGCAGGTCGCACTCCTGAGGCCCGCGCGAGCCCGTGCGGGTGCGCACGACCCAGGCGCCCGACGCCATGATTTGCTCACAACGTTTCGGCTACACGCAAGAGTGACACTGATGGGTAAAAGTGCCCTTTGTTGGGCGGCTTTTTAAGGGCAGCGGAGGGACCCAACGCGCAAGCGAGCAGGACGCTGCTGCCGCATCGCCTTCGGCGATCGGGGGACCCCAGTGGGCGCGCACAGAGGTCATTCTGGCGAAGGCTCGAGCCCAGACCCTCGACCCTCGATCCGCCTCGACCCTCCTCGATCCTCGCTCCCCGATATATTCCTTGCTCTGGCCCTGGGGGAACAGAGGTGGCAGCAGTGGCACGCCGCAGGGGGGGGGGGGGCGCCCTCCAAGATGTCGGACTGCTGGAGCAGATTTTCTTTAGGTCGGGCACGTCCTCCTACAGGTGTACTTAGGCAGAAAATATATGATCAACAAAAAAATCGCCGGCCCAACAGGCCAGAAGCGTGCTAAGATCTCCGGTAACTACTTAACAATATTTCTAGTTCGCGCGCGCGGGGCGGCCCCTGGGGGCCCCCGGACGAAAAGTACCCCGGCCGATCCCCGGCCGGGTCCCCGCCGGGTCCTGGGCGATCCCCAGGGGGGCGGCTATTTTTGGCCACCCCTCACGAGGATCGTGGCCTCCGAGGGGGTGGCTGCAATCGACTACGCCCCCTCCCGCCCCAAGGGGCCCCCAAGAGCCCCCCAAGAGGCCCCAGGGGAGCCCAACACGCCGCCAAGGAGCCCCAAGACGCTCCCAAGAAGCCCCCAAGAGGCCCCCAAGACGGCCCCAAGAGGCCCCAAATAGCGTTCCAGGGCCGGCGGAATGAGCGAAGCGATTAAATAAGTTTCACAATCGGCGACTGACACCTTTTGTTTTCTTGTGAAACCAAAAAATCCTGCTGTAGAGAGACGTGCCCGATTTGAGGCGAACCAAAAAATCCTGCTGTAGAGAGACGTGCCCGATTTGAGGCGAACGGCGGGGCGCGTCCGAAGCGAGCTGGGCACGGAGGCAGGAGGGAAGGCAGGAGGGAAAAGGGAGGCGTCAGAGCGCGAAGCACTTCGGGTGGACTGCTGAAGAAGCGCACGAGGCTTTCGGGCGGAAGCGGCAGGTCGGGCATGTCCCCCTACAGGCGGATTTGGGACGAAGAAAAAGGTCAAGGAATACTTAGAATAAGCGCAAGGGGACGCCATGGCCCCAGCCACGATGGTTGCTTGCCTCGCCCCTTGGCAGCCCCTATCCTCTGGGCACGCCTTCATGGACGATTGCGCGATTGTCTCCACCTCGCCGGACGCGCTGGCCACCGACATTGCCTTCGACCGACGAGTGGGCTTTGTGGAAAACATCGGCAGACGACAACACTGGTCCGACCAAGACGTCGTTCCACGACGCATCGAGCACCTCGGAGCACTCGCAACACCGACCGATTCCAGCTTCGGCGTCATTCCACGCCAAGGGTGGGCAAAGCTGGAGACCTCCATCGCCGTGCTGACCTCCATCTCTGGCAGCAACCAGGTTCGCCTCAAGCTCGCCTCGCCTACATCCGTCCTTTGTGGCTCTGGGCGAGCCCACTGGTCATCCCGCCGCCCATCAAGTACGCCTGGGCCCTGGCGCGAGCCGACTGGCACACCGGTTGCACATGGTGGTGCCATGGGAGGTGGTGGGCCCAAAATGTATTACTCCATCCAGTCCAGAATGCTGTTATATTCGCTTTCAAGACCATTGTAGATCCCAAGCTGAAATTGTCTGTGTTCTTGAAGCATTATATCGTTACTCATGCAACTGCGTTGGGTCTCACGCACCGGCGATTCGCTCCTACGCAACGAGCTCAATTGGAAGTCCATCCCACCGACGATCACCACGTGCTGAAAGCGGTGGAGGAGCACGTGGACGACTACTGGCGTTTCTGGTCGGGGTCCTCGGGTGCTCTGCACGTCCTGCGAATTATCGCACGCACCCGTTGCCTACAAGCAGTGGTTCCTACGCGGCACGACGCGGAAGAAGTCTCCGACGTCGACGTCGAAACTTGCTCGGCCAAGGCCTGTACGCGCTGGGTGGGTACGCTCAGCGACACGGACAAGACGCTTCTCTCGATATTTCGCTCTGGTGCCGTCACCAGCGAGACTCGGAGACGAACCGGGTTCGCATGCAAGCACTACGGTGCAACTACCCCATCGGTTCGCCACGTCTGGGCTGAATGCCCGAGGTGGCACCATGCGAGATTCAACATCGGAGTTCGCCCCATGCTTCCCGGCAGTTTCTGGACATCTGCTCCAAGGTATACAGCGAAGTCGGGGTGGGTTACTTACGCTTTTGCTGATACCCCAGAGGAGCGGACTCGAATGCTGCTGGCCTCCTGCTCTTTAGGCATTACGGCATTGGCTAGTGGAAAGGGAGACATGCTTACTGATGCTACCCCGCTACCTAGAAGACGGCGTTTTGGCAACAGGAGTGCACACGAACACCTTAAGTTTGGATCTATCCCACACGCCAGGGTGAGCCATTTCAACTTCTCTAAATCTCTCTTTCTCTCTCGTTATCTTTCTCTCTCGCTATCTCTCTCTCTCTCTCTCTCTCTCTTTCTTTTTTTCTCTCTCTCTCTCTCTCTCTCTCTCTTTCTCTCTCTTTTTTTTCTCTCTCTCTCTCTCTCTCTCTCTCTCTCTCTCTCTCTCCCTCCATCGTCTACGAAGCAGTGCACGTTTTACGTGGCGTAGACGGGATGGCCCCCGCCATGGCAGAACACTGCGAGCGCTCCTTCTTCGACGAGGACACCTGCAGCGGCGACCCCATCTTCTACAACTGTGTCGGCGAGGATCGGGACGTCGCTTCGGCCACCGACGACACCAGCGACGTCGAGGCCGACCACCCTCACGAATGTGTTGACCCGCTTCTTGGAAGCGGAGGACGGGGCGGGCTGCGGGCCCAGCGGGGGCGGGGTGCCCGGGCTGAAGATTTCCAGTGCCAGCCTTTCCAACTGCAGGCTTCAGTTCGCGACCTGGCAGCCCGGGTTCGAGGGGGGAAGCCTGAACCTACCACTCCAACTAGACGTTCACGCAGGGAGCCCAAAGTGTTGACGAAGCTGCGCCGCCTCATCAGGAAGGTGGACCGACAGGGCTACACTCCCACGGCGAAGGAAATGACGGACACGCTGCGTTCGCTGATCGGCGACCTCCCTCCTTCGACTAATACCACCACAGCTGGCGCCAGTCCACCGACTCCGACGCCTCAGCCCACACAGCGCTACCAGAAGCTGGTGCCCAGCACATGGGGTACAGCGCCTGTCTGGCCAGCCAGCGCCATCAAATATCGCACGTGTGATCCGACCAAGCCACCGGTAGTATCTTGCATGGGAATCAAGGACTATAGGGGCGCCGCGCGGGAGGCGCCCGCCGTGGCCACCACGTCCTCGGTCGGCCCCCGCTCGCGCGCCCCGCGCGCGCCTCCGTCGGACGGGGGAGGCGCTGACAGCAGCTGCGGCCCCCCGCGAGCAACCTTCGCGGCGCGCTCCGAGAGAACCTCCGCCAGCGGCCGCTTGACCTTGGGCCCGGCCTCGACAGCAGGTGCAGCCTGCGCCGCGCCCTCGGCGGGGGAAGCGGCGCCCTTGTCGCGGTCCCGCAGCGCTGCGAAGCGGTCCTTAAACTCCATCAGCCGCGAGCGCAGGGCGGCCACCCCACTGGGCGCGGAGGGCTCGTCCAGCTCGCCGAAGAGGTCCTCGAACGGGTGGGCGCCCGCTGCGGGCGCCTCGGCAGGCCGGGCGGCCCCAGAAGGCGGCCCCAGCAGGTCCTGCGGCCACACCGCACCTGGGTTGGTGGCCCGATGCTGCAGCCAGAACTCCGCCGCCGCTTCGACCGTCAGCCGCACCACTTCCGAGGTATGAACCAGCTCCATGCAGTTCGGCGGCAGCTCGGCCTCGCACAGCGGCACGGGGCCCTCGCAGATGTGCAAAAGGGGCCTGAGCGAGATCGCACCGCGCTCGCCCGCACATTGCGACCACCAGTCCCAGTAGCTGTCGTCGCTCCAGAGCAGCCTCACGCGTGCGAACCTGCCGCAGCGCGAGTGCCGCTGGCACAGCCACACGAACTGGCACTGCACCTCCAGGGCGTTGCTGTAGCCGACGGACGCGCACAGATTTCCGTCCACCAGCGCGACCAGCTCCACATCCTCCACTGGAAGCTGGTCGGTGCCTGCAGCCTCCGCAGGGCGGGCCCGCGGGCCCGGGGCGGGGACGTCGACCAGCTCCTCGACGTCGTCCCCGTCGTCCACGACCTCGGCCATGGGCCCCGCACGCCGTTGCGGGGAGGGCGGGGCCCAGCGGCTCGCCGCCAGCGTCGCCTCCGCCGCCCCCACCCCCGCGCGCGCGCCTCCGCCGCGGGGAGCGGAGGGAGGCGCCCTCGGCGGCCTCCCCTCCCGCGGCGCGACCCAGGTCGGGCACCGCCTGGTGTCGCCCGACACCGCGCGCGCAGCCCTCGCAAGGCGCCCGAATGCGCCCTGGGCGCGGGGGCTGGCGGGGCCGGGGACCGCCCGAATCCCCGCCAAATTCGAGCAACAAGAGGCTACGTGTAGCAGGACGGCGATAGGCGCACCCACCCCCTCGTATGAGCATACACATGCGTGTATACGGCCATATATACTAACATGGGATTGGTCGAACCCTCTTCCAGGCTTCGTGGGATTTTCGACTGGACCAAACACTTGGGGCCCAACCCTGGGATATACGACCGGGGAGCGCACATCCTCGGTAGCGGTGTGTCCGAACAGCCCCCTGGGGGTGCATCCAAAGGTTGTTTCCCCCATTCCAGAGCGACTCCACCTGTCGTCGAGGAGTCGGGGGTCGGGGGAGAAATCTCGCCCGCGATCTGTGCATTGTTATACATATACAATACATAACTGTACAGACATACGAATGCATACATCTATATATATATATATATATATATATAGATGTGTGTATATATATATATATATATATATGCGGTGTCTACATGCTTGTGTATAAATACACTAAAAACCATGGCGCGCGCTTCGATTCCATGACGCTTCTTCTCTGGGGCTTCCAAGAACCACGAAGACGGCCCACGTGGCTTCCAAGACTTCATACGGTCCACCCACGACGGCTTAAGACAAGCCCGAAAGGCACTTCAGGGGCCCTTTGATTCGCCGCGACTAGACTTAGCCGGAGGAAGAGAGAGGAGAAGAGGAGGTGACGGGGATCCCTGGGGGAGAAGGAGAAGGAAGATGAGGAGGAATCGGAAAGAGTGGAGGAAGTCGCAGAGGGGGAGGAACCGGAAGGAGGAAATAGTATGTATTATGTTTCCTTTGTTTTGCATCCGTAGCGAAGCTGCCAGGCGAACTTGCAAAATAAAAATGTTGGAATTCCAGCTTTCAGTTTTTCTCAAGTGCCCTCGGAGCCTCTCTCGAGGCTCTTTGGGGCCCTTTGGGGGCTTCTTGGGGACCTCTCGCCTCTCGAAGCCTCCTGGGGGTCTCATGGGGCGAAGATCTCGGGTTCTCGGTTCACGGTCCCGATCCTGAGCCGCGGCCGGGGCCCTCTCGGGCCGTCTTGGACGTCCCCTCGGCGCTGTTGAAGCCTATTGGGCCGTCTTGGAGCGCTTTTGAAGCCTATTGGGCTGTCTTGGGGCGATCCTCGGAGCCTCTTGGGGCGTTGTGCAGCGTCGGGAAGCGGAAAAGGCGGCAACGCCAAAATTGTTCAAACACCGATGGAACATAAATGTGCGTTGGCCTCTTCGAGCTCAATTGGGCGATCCTTCGGCGATCCTGGCAGCCAGCAGTGCCGGCGGAAGACTGTCTTTGGCGTCCTGGCCCATCCTGGAGCGGTGTGGAGCCTGCCTGTGGGTCCGGGCAACGCATCTCGTCCGCCGATTCCAGGCGGTCTGGAGCCTTCTTCAAAACATCCGAGCGGTAGAAAATTCAACATGCGGGGAAGTGAAACATCGATTTGATCTATTCGAGCCTCTCTTGGTCACCTCTCGGAGGCGTCTTCGAGCGTCGAGGATCGTCCTTGTAGATTATGGCGGCTGCTCGTTGGCGTCTGCGGCTCTTCTGGCAGCGTTTTGGGGACTGTGTGGGGGGAAGGGGACGCAGTCCTGGAAGCGCAATCCAGATGTCATCGAGGTGTAGGACGCCCGGGAGGGGGGCTGCCTAGTTGTGTTATGTATACACACAAATAGACATGCATGTATACCTACCTACCTACCTACCTACCTACCTACCTACCTACGTACGTACGTACGTACGTACGTACATACATGCATGCATACATACATACATACATACATGCATACCCATCTACCTATCTACATACATACATGCATACATACAATCATGCATACATACATACATAAATACATATATAATACATTCATACATACATACATACATGCATGCATGCATGCATGCATGCATACATGCATACATGCATGCATGTATACATCTATACATATATGTATATATATATACTACATTACACTACACTACATTACATTACATTGCATTACATTATATTATATTACATTAATACAGACAGACAGGCAGACAGACAGACAGACATATATATATATATATATACATATGCATACATGCGTACATGCATACATGCATGCATGCATCCACACATCCAGACATGCATACATACTGTATGATATCTATAAATATATATATATATATATAGTATTGTGGCGGAGCAGAGGGGCAGCGGCCGTCGGCGCTGCAGCGCCGCTCCTGCAGCAGGCGCCAGCTGCCTCCGAGAGGCCCCCAAAGGGGCCCCCCACGAGGCTCCCGCGAGCACCCGCTGGGCTTCTCACAGTTCGATTAGGGGATCGACTACACAATCGATGTACTCCTAAATTGATGTTCCCGCCGAGTATGCAAGACACACGTAGGATGTTCGTAGATCTACGGGGCATTATACGCACTTCCCATAGATTCGGCGGGAAAGTCAATTTCTGGGCAAATCGATTATATAGTCGATCCACTTCTCGAACAGTGGGGGCCCGAACACAAGAAACCTTCCACAAGAAACCCAAACCTGAGACCCGGGGACGTCCACGGATTTTTGGCGTGGGAGCGTCACGCCTTCCACTGCAAAACCATTGAAGCCCAAGAAACCCAGGGCACCCTGGAGGCGAGCAGGGTGTTTCTTGGCATGGGCCCCCACTGTATCGCACAGCCGAGGCACGGCGGCGGGATACTCGCCGCGGGCGGCTGGATGTAATTACTCTTGCGGCGGGGCAGTGGAGCAGCAGCCGTCGGCGCCGCAGCGCCGCGCCCATTCTCGACATGGGGTGCGTCCGAAGCTACCCCAGAAACGGCAGGGCCGTTCTGTCACCGTTTCCGAAAGGGCGGCTCTTGAAAATGGAAACGGCAAAAAACGGCGACCAGAAACGGCAAAGAAACGGCTCCGAGAGTGAAACAGGAGCCGGAACCAGAAAAACAAAACGACGACGGAACTGGCAAAAAAACAGCGTCGGAACCAACAAAAAAACAGCAGAACGGAACCAGTACAAAAACTGCCCCGCTTCCAGGGCCCACGAAGGTAAGGATGCGCAATAAGGATGCAAGGGTCTTGGAAGGCCACGTCGAAGCTTTTCGAGCGGGGTGTGGCCAACGAGAGTGGTCAAGGATGGGCCGAGGAGGCAAGGATGCAGGTGGACCCTGGGAAGGTTGCCCATCCTTACTATGCGGGTTTTAACTGAAGCCCCCTTTGGGGTGTCCCAGGGTTTCCCCCCTCTCTCTGAGTGGCCAAACTCTTTTCGGACAGAACCCGCGGATCGGGTGGGGGGTGAATCGCCTGCGATATACTTTTGTGGCGGAGCAGAGGAGCTGGGAAAAACCAAAAGGTACCGATACCGCCACTCCCCGGACCTTTCCTGGGGTGCGTTCTGACCAGAATTTGGAAGCGAATCTAGCGGCAGCGACGAGGGCCTCCAAGGAGGCCCAAAAAGAGGAACACGAGGAAAGAGTAGCGGTATGGGTACCTTTTCCCCCTCTGAGGAGCAGCGGTCGCTGGCGCCGCAGCGCCGCTCCTTCAGCAGGTGCTCCTCTGCGGTCACCTGGGCGGCCTGCACCACCTGCCGCGCGCCGCCGCCGCCGTCGCCGCCCTGGGCGCCCAGCTCGGCACGGCTTTGCCAGCCCGCGGCCCTTGAGGTAAGACGAAGCCAGGACGAGGATGAAATCGACGAGGATCGAGGATCGAGGTTCCTGGGCCGAGGGTTTGAGGACGACCACGAGGTTCGCTGTTCCAGGGCGACCACGAGTTCCAGCCCCGCGGCCCCTCAGGTGAGACGAAGCCAATACGAGGATAAAATCGAGTGAGAATGAATTGACCAGGGGATAGGTCGACCACTATCCCGGGCCTTGTGGGTTTTTCGAATGGACCAAAGATTTGATGCCCAACCCTGAGATATACGATAGGGGCGCGTCCATCCTCGATAAGGGTGCGTCCGAATACCCTCTTTGGGGTGTATCCGAGGGCTTCCCCCTTTTTCTGCGCGGCTTCATTCCTCGTCGAAGAGTCGGGTGAGGATAAATTGAGAATCTCTCTGATCCTCGCAGGCGATTTTCTCCCCCGATCCCCGAGTTCAGCTCGAAATGCTCGGCACCTCAGAAAAAGAGGGAAACCCTGGGATACACCCCAAGGGGGCTAGTCCGAAACACCCCTTATCGAGGATGGACGCCCCCCCCTCATCGTATATCCAAGGGTTGAGCGTCAAATCGTCGGCCCATTCGAAAAAAACCCACGAAGCCTGGGATAGGAGTCGACACATCTCCTGTCAGACCTGGCGGCTGTGGAGGATGTCTCGGGCGCCGCGGCCTTCGCAGAGCGTTCCGGAGCGCTCTGAGAGCGTGCCGGAACGCTCCGGAACGGAGCCGCCATCGTCCCCGCCCCAGCCGAACCGGACCTGACCTGTGTTCTCCCAGGGTCGGGCGTTGGTAGAACTGGGTTTAGTGGAACCTGCCCCATTTCCACTAACCGGAACAGCCGTCACCCGAAAAAACACAAGCTATGACAAACCTGGTTTAGTGATTCTGGCCAATTCAAAGGCTCCAGGGCCCCACCACTAACCGGGTCCCCTTGCCCGGGGTCCTGGCCATACCCGACAGGGGAAGTTCTGCGTCCCTGCTTCGTTCTTCCTGGCCTCGGGGCACGACAACGGGGCGACGATCAAAAACGGGTCTCACGCGAGATGACTTAGCGAACTTACTCGGGGGCCACATGCGAACCCTACCCCTACCCCCGACGATTTCTGATGGCGAGGGTGGGGTTCACTTCGCTCGGGAGCTCTCGAGCGAAGTGAACCCCACCCTCGATCGCGTTCGGTCGCGATCGGGGGACCCCGGTGGGCCCGCACCAAAGGTCACTCTGGCGAAGGGCCACTCTTACGTGCAGTCGGCCTTGGCCCTGTGGAATCCAGGGCTGCCTGCTCTTGGGCGAGCCTCCAATGGCCTCTCGCCCCCCACGGGGGGGCCGAGCGGACGGAGCCGGAGGACCGCGCCGCATCGCCGAGGCATCCGCGAGATGCCTCGGCGACCTCGGGGCGGAGAACATGGGGCTCCATGCGGCGCCGCGTCGCCAGTGCATCGGCGACGCGGCGCGAGCCTGTGGCCCCCCCTTGCTCCTCGCCTCCCCCCATCCCCGTCCCGGAGGCCCCGCCCGGGAGGCCTGGACTCGCTCCTCGCCTTCCCCCATGCCTCCCACGGAGGCCGCGAGGCCGCCACTGACCCACGCACGTCTCCTGCAGTCGGACCTAGGCCAGAAGAGCATCCCTCAAGAGCAGGAGGCCCTCCGTCGGCCAAAGACAAGCAGAACATCCAAGAGTGCCCTCCCCAGGATGCACAAGGACGTCCAACAGGCACGAAGAGCGCAAAAGTACCCTTCCCGAACCTACCTCGATCTCATGCCTCTGGCCGACTGCATGTCAGCCTCGCGCGCCCAGGCTGTTGTTTTCTCGCGCTCGGTGGAGTCGGCCATGAGGCCTGTGTACCAGCAAGTGAGAGCGCTGGGCTCTGGGGTGCTGCCGGGGCGTCAGAGCTGGGAGGATGTCCGCAACCAGCTGCACCCCAACAAACAGGGTATGTGTCGACCCCTGCCCCAGACTGCCCCAAATTTTGGGAGGCCCCCCTCGGGGGTGCACGACAGGGGGGCTCCTCCTCCTCCTCCTCCTCCTCCTCCTCCTCCTCCTCCTCCTCCTCCTCCTCCTCCTCCAAGGTTTCGCGAGAGGTCGCAGAGAAAACTGCCAGGAGCTGGGACAGAGCCGAAATCGAGGGGACCAGGTGGCCAGCATTGGAAAGACCATCGGGAAACTCGCCCCAGCGCTGCATGGGGTGAAAGGCAGTCGCCTGGATCAAAAATGGAGGAGCAGAAATATACCAGCACCGCTGCTCCCTGGAGCTCTCCTGGGGGCACACTCTGACTAGGAATCCGAGGCGAGTCCAGCCGTGGCGACGAGGACCCTCCATGACGCACAGAAAGGCGAGAACGGCGAGGGGGGGTAGAAATGACTGTATTGGTATCTCTTCCTCCTCTGAAAATGCGTTGTTACTTCTGGAGGAGGCGGAGGAGGAAGAGAAGAAGAAGAAGATAAACTGCTCGGAGGTCCTCGCGGATTGCTCAGGCCGGCGCTAGGCCCACCCCCCCCCTCCCATGGCGAGGTTCAGTGCCGATCCGAAACATCCACGCAGACCTCAGAACCTCCATTCATCGTCTTCAAGTATACAGGCAATCCTACAATCAGAGAGAAGGGACCAACAATCCCTGGGATCGTGGCTGACGTGAGGCTCCTCAGTGCCGATGATCGTTGCCGTTGTTGTTATTCTTTCGTTGTCGCCCCGGCCCCACGGCCCACCCACGACCCGCCCTGCGGCCTACTCGCGAACCACCTGCGACACACCCGCGACCCACACGCAACCCACGCCGCGATTCACCCAGCGACCCACCCTGCGATCCACCCGCGACGACCCCGCGACCCACGCGTGATCCACACCCACGGCCCAAACCCGCGACCCCAACCCGCGGCCCACACTCGCGACCCAAACACTTGACCCCCCCGCGACCCACCCACGAAACACTCGCGACCCCCCCGCGACGCTCACCCGCGACACACCCGCGACCCACTCACACGAAAGATCTGGCAAAAGAGATACATCTGTAATACAGGCAAACGCGGCTGGCTTCGCGTGTAAGAGACATCCGTCCCTACGACGAGTGTCTCCCAGTCGTCACTCGAACCTGCTCACTAGCCGACGAGATGGACGACTTCTCAACAGGAGGCCGAAAAGGTAAACCGCGCCAACGGTGGGAACAAGGAAAGGCGACACCAACACCAGCAGGGCGAGGAGGTGCGAGGAGACAAGGGGAGTCTCCCTGGTGGTGTGGTCCCCCCCTCTCGCTCGAGACATCCCCAGCATCCAGCTCGGGGAGGCATCGTGGACCTCCTCGCTGGAGGTGGGCCCCCTGGTGGTGTTGGTATCGCTTGTCCTCCCTCCGAAACGGCGGGCTTCTCTGCAGTGGCGCTCAAACCCCGCAGCCCCGAAGGCAGCCTGGGCGCCGCCTCGCTTTGCTGCGCAGCTGCGGATCTTAGGCTATTACAGTCGGGATTGATTGGAGAGGACACGCGAGAGGACACAAGACCCTTCCGAGGGCCACATTGCCATAGGAATGTAAGACGACGTGGATCGCGAAGCTCAGAACACAAGGGTACCCTTGATTTGGCAGGGTCGACCTACTAATCCGGGCCGACTGGATCCGCCGTCGTGAACGCGCGTCAAGAACAGGAGCCTCTTCGCCCAAGGCCAAGCGCCGGTGGCCAATGCCCCCTGGGGATGCCCCAATTGACAGACAAGGAAAGCCCAAACACAGACAACAGAAGTGCACCCCACCACGACCAGAGTTGCACTGATCAGGCAAAGAAGAAGTAAGACGAAGCCAGGACGAGAATAAAATCGGGTGAGGATATATCGAAAATCTCTGAGATCCGCCGGCTCTGGAGGATGTCTCGGGCGCGGCGGCCTTCTCAGAGCGTTCCAGAGCGCACTGAGAGCGTTCCGGAACGTTCTGGGACGGATGCATCCTAGAGTGGATGGATCGCAGAGGGGGCTTGACGAACGAGCCCACGCGGCTGGGTGTTCCAGTGCCTCCGGGGGCCGGAGAGGCGGCCGTGTATCAAGACACGCGCCCGGCGGCGGGGCCGAGATCACAGGTGCGGCTATCGTTTGCGCGCTCCCGCCCCCCCGTCCTCCTCCTCGTCCTCCTCCTCCTCCTCGATGCACAGCTGCGGGGCCGAGATCAGGTGCGGCAACAGTCTTCGCGCTGCCACCCCCCTCATCTCGTCCGACCCATCAAGCACAGAGAATATGAGGGCACCCCACCAACCCTAGGGCAGGAGAGCTCAGAATCGACTCGAAAAGTCGGATCGGCGGAGAT